GTGTCAGAGTTAGTGGTGCCCGTGGTGACAGAAGGCAGCATGTCCTCCACGGTGGCCGCGGTGTCGGCGGGGTGCCTGCGAGGGGGACACGGGGACGAGAGAGAGAGAGAGGGAGAGGGAAAGAGAGAAAGAGAGAGAGACAATGAAGGCCCGAAACGACAGCAGGGAGAGGGGCAGAGAGGGAGAGAGGGAGAGAGGACAGCACACACATGTGACAGGAGGGGGACTCGGGAGCAGAGACGTGCAGAGGTCAGACATGCAAAGGGAGCGAGGCTGGGATGGCTCAGGATCATCAGGAAGAGAAAAAAGCCAAGAGGACGTGACCTGCAGGGATGGTTTGTTCTCGTGGAGTGTTTGGGATCCTGTCAGCTTGCAGAGACTCTCCTTACCTAAAACTCTCCTCTCAGCCTGTCCTGAGCTCTCCAGGCAGCTCTGCCACCCCCTGAGCCTGCAGCCCTGTGCCACCAACACAACACAGCACAGGACCCTGGGTCCAGCCCCTCACCTCGTCCTGTCCTGCTGCTGCAGGTTTGTCTGAAGCCCCCATAAACCCAAACTCCTTCCTCACACACGAATGCAGACTCAGCTCTCAGCTCTCTCTCAGGATGCTCAGCCCTGCTGTGACTCCACATCCACGCCCAGCTCCTGGGGAGGATCTCTCCCCACGGGTTCAGGCTCTCACCCAGCACTGCTGGGGCAGGTTTTGCTCTGGATCCTTTGCAGATCCTGGACAGTGTTGGATCTCCACACGGGATGGAGCCTTCAGCAAACACTGCTTCCTTCCCTTCCCCTCCAGTGCTGGGAACAGCAACCACTGCAGCTTGACAGGAGGCGCTTCCTCACTGGCACGTGGAGATTTTACCTTTCTTCCTCTCCTGCCGCCCTAACTGCTGCTGCTGAGGGGCTGGGGCAGCTGGGGGCAGTGCAGTGCCCCTGTGCTAGGGCTGCCTAAGGCCACATACTCTGGCTCTGTCAGCGGGGTGGTCTCGTTGGGCTCCGTGTGCTTCCCCCCGTCGTGGTTGGGGGTCCTCTCCTCCTCCGTGCGCACCTCCACGATGGGCTCCTTGGACTCGTCCTTCCTGCAACGAGGGAACGGCAAGGGGAGTGATGGCTGCTCCTGCAGGGACAGCCAGGCATGGACACGGCCACGGCCAGGCATGGACACGGCCAGACATGGCCACAGACTGAGCTGGGAATGCTCCTGGGGTCACTGATCCTTCAGCACCCGGCATCGAGCTACACTGGTGTCCAGCACTGGCGTCACTGGGATGACTGGGATGTCCAGCACTGGGGTGTCCAGCACTGGTGTAATCAGCACTGGGGTGACTGGGATGTCCAGCACCAGGATGTCCAATACTGGAGTGTCCAGCTCTGGGGTCACTGGGATGACAGGGATGTCCAGCTCTGGGATGTCCAGCACTGGGGTGACTGGGATGTCCAGCACTAGGATGTCCAGTACTGGAGTGTCCAGCTCTGGGATGCCCAGCACTGAGGTCACTGGGATGACAGGGATGTCCAGAACTGGGATGTCCAGCACTGAGGCCACCTATTTGATGGCTACCAACAGAAACGAGACAAAACCCCAGAGGAACAGCTCCAAACCCACCTTCCTGCCAGCCCCAACACAGCACCAGCCCCGTCCCCACAAAGCTGAGGGCCCCCTCCCTGAGGCAGCTCCTTTGCTGCCCCTGGGGCTCAGAGGGGGTTCTGGGGGCACACAGGGGGAGTTTTGGGACACAGAAGGAGGTTTTGGGGTCAGTACTCACGAGAAGGCCGCCTTGCCCTCCTCCATGTCCTTGCCCTTGGCCCCCGGGCCGGACTTGCCGCACATGTTGACGGCGATGCACATGAGCAGCCCACACTTGTTCAGGAAGTAGCAGGTGACATCCACGGCCACCAGCAGCGCCACAAACACCACCACGAGGATGCCAATGATGGCAGCAGTGCCCAGGCCCGAGGCAGGGCTGGTGCTGGCTTCAGACACCGAGGGAGAGAACAAGAGAAGGCGTTCGGGTTAAAATCTGGGGTTTCGGGGCTCACACTTGGCTGTACTAAGTTGCGTTTTTAGAATCCCACCCCCTGTACCAGCCATGTAATAACCACGGCTTCATCCCACAGAGAATCTGCACGAAAGGATGGCACTGATGGGGCCTCTCCCATCCCTGCTGGGGCCTCTCCCAGCCCTGCTGGGGCCTCTCCCATCCCTGCTGGGATGAAGCCTGGGAAGCAAAGAGCACAATCCCTGCTCTACACACAAGGCAGGGCTCCTGCTTCCCTCCTCCTCCTCCTCAAGAGGAAGGTCCAGAGTGGCCCTGGCCCTGCCCAAGGAGCAGGGAAAGCAAAGGCCAGGCTCTGCAGCAGGGTTTTCCTGGTGGGACACAAATCACTCAGGGCTGGTGAGCCCCTGGAGGGTGAAACTCAATCAAAGCCCTCCCTGGAGCTCAGGAGCTCTGCAGAACCTGCTCATGGCTCCCCAGCCTCTCACCAGCCCAGCCCCTGGAGCCCCAAACCCTTGGAATTTTGTCTCTGCAGAACCCCAGCAGAGCCCCTTGATCCCCACTTGGACAGGTTAGAAGACCCTTCCCAGGGCTCGGAGAGAGCCACAGCCCCTGCCATGCATTTCCTTGGTTCAACACACGAGGCAGAGAGGTGGTGTTTCATTTGGTGACCCCGAGATGGACCGAGGGATGCAGATTCCAGCAGGAAAAGTGCAGAAAAGCCACAGTGAGGCACCTGAGGGACCACAAGCCCAGCCCCTGGTGACAGAACACTGTCCCACAGGCAGCAAGCTGCAGGATGACACGGTGACAGGGACCCACCCCACCCTGCAGGGAGTGGGGAGGGCAGGGATTTGGGATTTGGGATTTTCCCTTTGGGGGCGCTCAGGATGTGCAGGGATGATTCCACAGTTCAGCTGAGCTGTGTCACCCTCCCATCCACCCCTGTGTGGGCCAAGGGGACCATCCCAGGATCAGCCTCCCCAGAGCTGCAATTTCCCCCTTGTGGAGAATTCCACTCACACCACAGTGCTGCTCCTTGCCTCCTCTCCTCTCCCCAGCTTTTCCAGGAGCTGTGACCCCCAAATTCCTGCCCTGACAGGCACAGAGCCCTGTGCTCCCCCAGAGCCCCAATGAGACCCCTGAGCAGGCACCAAACCCCCCAAAACCCCCAGCCCTGCTCCCCTGCCCCAGGAGGAGGAGGAGGGTGGAGCTGGGGAAGCAGGGCAGGCCTGCAGGGGAATGTCCCTGTTCTTGTGCTATTCTGGGATTTTACACCTCAAGCCAAGGAAACTGGGCCAAGGTAACTGCCTGCAATTTGGGTTTCTAGGCTGCTAAGAGAGCCCTGCAATTTGCAGGAACTTTCCAACCTTTTCCCATTAGCTGTGGTTTCAGAAATCCTAACTCGTGGCATGAATTGAAATTCCAAACTTTCCAGGGACTGGCATAAGGAAATATAATATAAAAATCCTCCACAGCCTCATGGACTTGGGAGGCTCTTGGTGCTGCCTTTCATTTTCCTTGTAAAGGAATTTTGCTGCTCCTACAAAATGCAGGAATCATAGAGGAGATTACTCTTTTCACAGACTGTCCCATCTGATTAAATTAAATTGATTTCCAAATACTTTCTGGAGCCATTCCCTCCATCCTGCAGCTGGATTTATGTTGTATTTAATGAAACTGATATTTAGACATCCCTAAAGGGTTTGCTGGGGCCTAAAACAACTCTGTGTACAAAATAAATGTATAAGTAAATGAAGAAATAAATGTATAAATAAATAAAGAAATGTATAAATAAATGGAGAAATAAATGTATAAATAAATAAAGACATGTATAAATAATGTGGAGCAGCTGCTCACACTGTGTGTGTGAAACAAATGTAATAAATTGATGTTGGACATTTTTGACCTGATCCACATCCAGCCCTTCCATTAATCCCCTTTTGCCATCCTCAGGACATGGAGGAATAACATTTCCACCGGTTAAATAAGGAAACACAAACCATTAAAGAACTTCTGGAGTCCTTCATTCTAAAGAAGTGAAGAATTTATTAATTACAAATTATGTTTTCCAATGGAAAATGAGCTTCCTGCGAGACTGGCTTTTCTAACCCCCCTCATTTCACAGTGCACGGGAAAGCCACGCAGCAGTTTTGATTTCTGCCCAGAACCTGCCCTGACAGAGAGAGCTCAGCTGTGTCCCCCTGGCCTGGGGGGTCACTGCACAATGTCAGACACAAACAGGGTGGGAGAGGCAGGTGGGACTGCGGGCACGGCCAAGGCCCTACAGGATTTGGCAAAAGGAAGAAGAAGAAGAAGGGACAAACCAAACAAAAATCCACTCTGTAGCCAGCAGCACGCCCCAGAGAGCAGCTCTTTGCTCCCTTTGAAGGGGGATTTTCAGGGCTGTTCCCCCAGCCCAGCCTGGGGAGCTGTGACCCTGCTCTCCAGGGACAGAAATCCATGTTCCACACTCTGAGTGAGCTCCCAGAGCCTGGGGAGCTGTGACCCTGCTCTCCAGGGACAGAAATCCATGTTCCACACTCTGAGTGAGCTCCCAGAGCCTGGGGAGCTGTGACCCTGCTCTCCAGGGACAGAAATCCATGTTCCACACTCTGAGTGAGCTCCCAGAGCCTGGGGACAAGGATTCTGCTCTCCCACGTTCCAAACCCTGTGAGTGAGCTCCCAGAGCCTCTGGGATGGGGATTTGGGATTTCCCAGAGCTGCCCTGGATTCTTGTGCATTGTGGCCTCAGAGCTCTGGTCCTTCTGGCTCTGTTGGGCCTGAAGTGACCCCAAATCCCATCCATCCACCCCTGCCATAGCAGGGACACCTTCCACTGTGTCCAGGGACACCTTCCACCATCATGGGCTGCTCCAAGCCCATCCGACCTGGCCCTGGACACTGCCAGGGACCCTGGGCAGCCACAGCTGCTCTGGGATCCCATCCCAGCCCCCTCCACCTTCACAAGGAACAATTCCTTCCCAAAACCCCACCTAGCCCTGCCCTGTGGCAGTCTGAAGCCATTCCCCCCTTCCTGTCCCTCCATCCCATGGAAATAATCCCTCTCCCCTTCTCCTGCCAGCTCCTCCAGGTCCTGCAAGGGGCACTGAGGTCACCCCAAAGCTTCTCCTCTGCAGGCTGAACACAGAGTGACACCAAAA